GGTGGGGCTGCTGCCGGGATCCCGGCCCCGCCACCCGGTTGCATCCAGCACGGTATATATGCACCCGGGGCGGCCCGACCTCTGCGCGTGCATATATAGGTATAGTTTCTGAAAATCCCCCCCGAGCAGGGCCCGGCGGGGGGATCATACAGTCGCGCTGGTCGCGGGAGGGGGTGGGGAGGAGGAAAGGCGCGTTTGGGGTCAAATGCGGGATGCCCAGGGGAGGCTGCAGGCTGCTGACAGGGACATGAGGACAGCTTAGTGACCGACCCCCTGACAGACATGTCCCCTCCCCTGGGACGTGCCACCTAGCAGGGACAAAGGGCTGTCCCTTGGCAGGGTGTTCCTGGGGTTCCACAGCTCTTCTCACCCCTGCGGTGCAACCTCTGACCAGCCCTAATTAGCAGTACCAGCTAATCACACCTGTATTAATCTATCGTCATAGCAACTAAACACCCTGTTAGTAGGTGCTTTATCATTACAGCTCTTGGGGTGTGCCAGGTTGAGGTGATAAGAAGCAATTCTTTGGTGTGAGGGTGTTGGAACAGGTTGCTCAGGAAAGTTGTGGAAGCCCCATCCCTGGAAATGTTCAAAGCCAGATTGGATCCCACTCTGATCTAGTGGGAAGTGTCCCTCTCAATGCAAGGGGTTTGATCAAGATGGTCCTTAAGGTCCCTTCCAACCCAAACCATTCTATGATTCTCTGATACGGTTCTATGACAGGGCAGCCACCTGTGTCACCTGCAGTACCCCCTCCCCTCCTGCCTACAGCAGACATCACTTGTACTAATTTTGGATAAACCAGCCCAAAATGTGCAGTTATTGTGCAGCCCCAGCTGGTGGGGGAGGCCTTGGTCCCCAGGCAAGGCACAGGGCAGCAGGGATGAGCTCCAGGAAATGTGGGAGCCAAAGCAGAGATTAGTGAGAAATAGAAAAACCCTTTTATTAAAAAATAGGCCTGTGACTACACTAAGGGAATAAATACAGAGGTGAAGCCTGAGCCTGCGGCCCAAGGAGTGGGTCTGCCCCCCACTGCAGTGCTGGGGCCAGTGCCCAACGTGAGGCCCCATGGCTACCAGAGAGAAAAGTAGGCTTTTAAAATGGGGGCCAGCCCTTCGGTGCCCCCCGAAGCTGCCCTCCCTGCGGTGGGTGCCAGCCAAGAGAGGCCACTTGCCGGGGGTGCCGGGCACCCAGGGCGACTGTATGATCTGCCACTGGTGCCGCCGGCCCACGGGCCACTGGACATTTTCAGAAACCGTATATCCCCCGTCCCTGTGGGTGTGTGAGTACCTGTATCTGTGCGTGTCGGGGTAGATATTGAGGTGGCTGCTCCCCCTGCGCAGGGGCTGGGGGGCAGGGACAGGCTGGCCGGGGTACCCAGCTCTTTGGGCTGCCCCATGGGCATGCTCCCTGCCACCCTCTGCTCTGGCATTTGTCCTTTTAATGAGATTTTGGGCAGAGTCAGGAGCTCAGTGGAGGGGACAGGAGCCGGGGGGAGCCCTGAGCCCCCGGCACTGCCTGCAGCCACATCCCTGAGGCTGAGGGACTCTTGGCACCCCGGGGTGGCACTGACCGCACCGTCTGGTCAGAGCCTCGTGGTGACCAGGGAGGTTACAGCTGTCCCTGGCAGCAGCAGGGCTGGAGCTCTGCACTCAGCTTGGTCCCAGACCAGACGGGGGACCTGGCACCCCCACAGTGCTTGTCCCAGGAGGGACTTGGGGCCAGTGATGACCGTGGCAAGTGCCTGACTCTGCCGGGTGGGCCTCACCCAGCACCCACCTCCACGCCAAGGGTACAGATACAGCTGCCGGGTGCCGGCCTGGGGGGCTCCCAAAGCAAACCCCCCCACCCGAGGTGCCACAGGGGCAGGGCCAGGTGAGCACAGTGATGCCTGCCTGGCCCCAGAGGTAAGTACAGTGGCACAGGCACCTGGGCCCACCAGTAGCCTCACCAGTATGGGAAGAGCTGGACTCAGGGTCGTACCACTCTGGGCAAACTGGGATCCATCAAACCTGGCCCTGGTAGAGGTGGTGGCACCTCAGTGCCCACGGCAGTGACACACACGGTGGCCGGTGTGATGGCTGAGCTGGTGACACTGCTGGCAGCTCAGGGCTGAGTCTGCAGAGATGCCCACAGCCAGCTGCCCCAACAGGGTGACACTGGTGGGACCAGTGGCACATCACCACCTTCGTGTCCCCTGGCAAGCCCAGATGCTGGCAGCATGGCTGGTATCTGCCCCACCACCCCCCGGGAAGAACTGACCTTGCCTTTTCCATCCTCGCGAACGTCAAACCTTGTCCCCCAAACCCCAGAGAGTATTGCAAAGACCTCGACTTGTCGGATAACAACACCGAGTTCCTGGAAAACTTTATTGCCCTCATGGAAAAGGTGACCCCAGACTCCAAGCAATGTGAGTAGCCAGGGATGGATGGTGGGAGGAACTGACAGGGTGGGGGGTTCAGGGGACAGGGGCATGGAGGGAGATGGGGCAGGGAGTGAACCCCATCAGGGCTGGCGTTCCTGAAGCCACTGTAGAGTGGGTGCTGGTGCGGGGATAGGCTGGGAGGGCATGGGTGGACCTCACAGTGCTGTCCCTCACCTCCTTCTCTCCATCTTCCTCCCCAGGTGACAACTTCCTCCTGCACAACCTGATCCTGGACACAGGCATCACGCAGCAGCTGGTGGAGCGGGTCTGGAAGGACCAGGACCTCAACACGTAGGTGGGGGCAAGGTGGCCTGGGTCAGGCAGCACTGGCTGGGGACAGAGGTGGGGGAGGGGGTCAGGGTGCTGAGATGGGCTATGGGGATGGGACAGGGGCACAGAAATACCCTGCTGATGTCCAGTGTGCCTGTCCCCTCTCCTTGCAGGTACAGCCTCCTTGCTGTCTTCGCAGCCACTGATGGGGGCATCACCCGTGTCTTCCCCAACAAGTGAGTGTCATGGGGGGTACACACATGCCAGGCCTCTCATGGTGACACACCTGCTCCCACTGGGCCATCTCCAGTGGGACCAGAGCTGAATGATGACCATGTCTGTGAATACTCTCCCCAGGGCTGCAGATGACTGGGAGGAGGAACCAGAGCCCTTCAATGCCAGCTTCTACCGGAGAAGCCTGGACAACAAGGGCTACATCTTCAAGCCGCCCTACCGAGACGGTGGGTGCCACTGGGGGCAGTGGGGGCTGGCACAGGCTGTCAGCTGGCCGCACGTGCCCCTGATGCCACCCCTGCCCTCTGCAGCCGGCTACCGGGGGCTGGACCTGGAGAACAACACCATTGGGATCCTGGTGAGCACTGCCGTGGAGCTCATCATCGGGGGCAAGATGCTGAAGCCAGCAGGTAGGCAGGGAGCTGGGTTACCCTCCACCCAGATGGGGGGTCCCCATATTGTCCCCCCAAGCTGGAGCTGACCCTGTCTTCACACTGCCCCAGTGGTGGGGGTGAAACTGGACCTGGAGGCCTGGGCTGAGAAGTTCAAAGTGCTGGCAAGCAACCGGACAGACCGTGACCAGCTGGGCGCCCGCCGGGTACGTCCCCCATAGTGCTGACATGGCATGGAGATGGGGACAGGGACAGAGAGGGAGCTGTGCTCACTCTGGATGTGACTGGGGAGTGCTGTTGGGACACGGTGCCCGTGGCCCCACTGTACCTTCACCCTGCTTGAGACACCCATCCCCTGGGGACACCATCCTGTATGTCCCCTCCTGGGTGGGAGGACAGCTCTGGGTTGGGAGGCTGGTCCAGCTGATCTGTCCCTCTGTTCCTGTATTGGTTGACAGTGTGACCCCTCAACCAGCTGCGAGATGGACTGCGAGGCCAACAACAAGGTAGGTGGTGGGTAGGCATGAGGGCAGCAGAGGACAGTGGGCAGGCGGTGGCTGGTAGGACTCCCTGTCCCTTGCCCCCACTGCCTGTGATGCCTGGGCAAGTGTGCCCACCCCATCCCCTTGCCACTCATGGGGCTCTGTCAGCCACTGGACTCCCTTGCAGGGACAGTGTCCCGGGAGTTGTCCCCTGGATCATGAATCCTCCCCAAAGGGGCTGTTAACCCCTCAGGGTGAGTGGTGGTTCCCACTCCCTGCACCCAGAGCAGGAGGTCCCATCACCAAGATGCTCCTGAGCAGTCCCTAGGCTTAGGGACACCATGCTGTCCCCCCTGCCTGGCCCCTCACCCTTCCTGTCCTGCCTTGCCCAGGGCATGGCCATGGGGTGGGTGACACTGCCTTCCTTCCCCAGGATCTCATCTGTGTCCTTATTGATGACGGGGGCTTCCTGGTGCTCTCCAACCAGGAGGACCACTGGTACCAGGTGAGCGGTGCCCTCGTGGCAGCTTTCCTGGGCATGGGATGCCAGCAGGGAGCTGAGACTCTGAGCTCCTGCCACCTGTGGTGTGACACAGCCCCCACTCGAGTTCCTGCTGGGGGAGACCCACGACAAGGTGTCGTTTGGGTGCAGACTCCATGTCCCCATCCCAGGTGGGCAAGTTCTTCAGCGAGGTGGATGCTAACCTGATGTCTGCCCTCTACAACAACTCCTTCTACACACGCAAGGAGTCCTATGACTTCCAGTCCGTCTGTGCCCCCGAGGCCCAGAGCAACACGGGCGCCGCGCCCCGCGGCGTCTTTGTGGTGAGCATCCATGGGGATGTTGGCTTCCAGATGGTCTGGGAGCCCAGGGACCCACGGGAGTGTCCCCAGCATCACACATGGGGACCCACTGGCTCACTGCCCTCCTCTTTGCCCACAGCCCACCGTGGCTGATCTCCTGAGCCTTGCCTGGTGGACCTCAGCTGCAGCCTGGTGAGACCTGCTGCATCCCCTCCCCGGAGGTCATTTACATTGAGGGGTGACACCAGCATGGCCCCAGGGCTGGGACAGCTGACACGGCCGTGCTCTTCTTCCCCAGGTCTCTCTTCCAGCAGTTCCTGTATGGCCTCACCTACAGCAGCTGGTTCCAGACGGGTGAGTCCCAGGGGATCCCTGGGCTGGGGGTGGGCAGGGGACGTGGTGGAGTGCGTGGGGAGGTTGGTGGCCCCTGGCCCACGGCACTGTGCCAACAGAGGAGGTGGCAGGGGATGGCATGGAGACCAGGGAGACGAGCTGCATCATGAAGCAGACACAGTACTACTTCAGCACCGTCAATGCCACCTACAACGCCATCATCGACTGTGGCAACTGCTCCAGGTGGGTCTATCCCCCTCATCCCACCACCTGAGCAGGGCTGGGGACACCCTTGAGGCTGCCTTTGCCAGGACCCCATGCAGCCTCCTGCGTGGGAGATGTCTGCAGCAGTTGGGGCAGCTGCAGTAACCAGATGGGGAAGGCAGTGTCCCTGTGTGGTGATGGTCATGTCCCCAGGTCTCCTCCAGGTGGGACTGAACCCTGGAAGCACATTGGTACCAGTTCCCTGGGCAGCCCCTCCGCATGGGGTTGGGGATAGGGATGGGGGCAGGAGCAGGCATGGGGATGGCAATGGAGATGGAGACGGTTAAAGGGACGAAGCTGGCAGTGGCACGGGCACAGGGATGGGGATGGAAATAGCCCACCAGCTCAGCCTCCCCAGAACTGCCAGCAGGGCTGGCACCAGGGGCCAAGGGGGGATGGGGGCACAGGGTGACCAGGGTCACCGCTGCCATCGCCCCCAGGCTCTTCCATGCTCAGAGGCTGGCCAACACCA